GTAGACCGAAATTTTACAAGACGAAATTTCACGGGACAAAAGATAAGTGTAATATTTCACCTGGGAGAAGATTACTTCAGTTTTGTTTATTCGGTTCTCCTTTTTCATTGTAATTGCACCCCACGTTTTTCTGACTGACAGAGGCGTCGTTATGAGAGAAAATAGACACGAGCCGTCGAGCGGATCGACATTCGCCGGAATGCATCGGAAGGAAGCGAGGTCGCCCGTTAAATTCGCCATTAGAGCAAACGGTGCGTGCATACGCGCAACGTAAATTACACGATGCGCCGTGTCGATCTGCCGCCCCACATTCTGACGCTCGGCTCTGAATTTCGGCGCTCGCCCGGTCGGCCGGTTCCCAATGATTATCCACTTAAATCGTGAAGTCGCGAGCAATTATGTGGGGGTGCGAGGGTTAATTCGATAATTGCATTATATTCCGTTGCGAGTAATTGCCACCTTTCCGCGAATGCAAATCCCTCTCTACCGCGCGGCACCCTCGAAACTTGCCGCTGTCCAACACTACACACGACGATACCCCATTTTATTATCTCGTCTATGTTGCAATCTCCGTTTGCATCGTGCGGCAATCGAGATCATTCTCTCACTGATAGAATAATCAATCGAATTCAGTTGCATTATTCACATTTAAGTCTCCTCGTAATCAGTTTTTCAAGTCGGAGTAGAACGCACTTAAAATTCAATAGTGAAAGCAAGACGAGATTTTGTCGTCTGATTGTGTTTATATTCCCTAAAATTTTTATTAATTATTTTATATTAATTATTTATTATTTTATTTAATAATCCGTCAAAAATCAACTTCCTCTTCAGGACTCTTCAGAACTGACTCTTCAGAATTCGCTCGAATCAAACGAAATTAATTATTTAACTTAAAAATTACGCAGATACTCGAAACCTGTCATTCATGTAACGAGATTCCCTTCTTTCTCGCGGAATTCGCCGGTGAACATTTATTCGCGGTGATGTCCGTTACATTTTGCACGACAACGTCCGAATTAGAAGTGAAGAATTCCACCGTGTCTCCCCGAAGAAACAAAACGTACCCTTCCTTCTCCGTTCGTGCGCGTTATAAAATCACAACGTACACTTTGTTTATTCTCACCGCTGTACTTTCCCCACATTATCTTCTCACGCACTTGCGAATTAATATCAACGGGTACGGAATCGCGCGCGCGCGTCAAATCGAGGCGAGGGGCATCGGGCGCGATTTGGAGATGAGAATAAACGGAAGGGAAAGAGCGCGGGATGAAAGAGAAAGAAGCAGAAGACACGAAGGCGGTGGAAGAAGAAGAAGACGAGGAAGAAAGGAGCGAGCCGAATCGAGCGCGTTCGGCTGCAAGCGAAGGTTAAAGAGGGGAGAAGCACGCGTCCGCCACGCTCCCCGTGCGCACACCTGGGGCCAGTTGGCCAGCGAGAGAGAGAGCAGGCCCTTCTACTATGGGTCCACAAAACCAATGTCCAATTATTAACAAATTATGATCGCGAAATTGGGGAGTCTTCCGGAAATACGGAAACGAGAGCTAGGAGAGCTCGGGGCTTCCAGAAGCGTATCACCGATATCACCGGCCAAGATATATCCCGGATCATTGTTTCTCCGAAGGAACCGTCCTCGCGGTTATTAGAAGCCGAAGGACCTTCGAACGATCTCACCTATCGCTCTCCGACACGAATGCGCGAACCTTCTCGGAGAAGGAAGAGAACTGTCGCGCGCTTCAAGAGCGGACGCGCGAGTGTGTGGTCTCACTGCGAAAAAATTTACGTCCTTCGAGGAAGTGGAAGGCTCACCCGAGGCAGATCCGATAAGGTTTGAAGGCACTCGTACGATATCGCGGCGGAGGAAGCGGAATTAGTGGAGCGAATTTCCTTCCCGAAAAGACCAACCGTTCGTAGTTCCTCCCTCCTCGCGATGGGGATTCCCTCCCCAAGGTTCTTACGTGAAATTTCACCTACCCTTGCCGTATTTCCACGTTATTTTCGTGCATTTCGTTTCGAATTGAGCAGTGCGGCGCCTTCGATGAACAATGGCGAATTGATCGTTAATTTCTCGCTTGTTCGTCGTTGATCGTGTTATTAGGCTCGTTTAATCGTCGAAATCGCATCGTCGTCTCTCTCTCTCTCTCTCTTTCCATTCGGATTGAATCGTTAGGCCATTAGGTCCATGATCGAGCGACTATCACGCTATCACGAGTGCATCGAGTGTCTCACAGCCGTAGCGATTACACGAGACGGCCGGTTACGGTACCGGTAACGCTAAGAGTGGCATCTGGTTTTGCGCATAACGGTTACAGTTAATTCGACCGGCCGCTCGCCTCTCGAAAATCCTTTATGGCCGGTGAATGCGTCTTGTGATTACACGCGTTTCACTCGGAACACAAAACAGTCCCGCAGACGCGCTGCGTGTTACGTCTAATCATCTCAAGTCCCCGGCAAGTCGAAAACGCGCACACCTTCGCGGCAGGTCACCGGTAAACACAGACGCGGATGGCCATTGATTATCCGGCGATTCCTGCGATCCGATCGCCCACGCCGATCGTCCTCCCCGGCTTTCAATCGATTTTCCCTGTGACGTCGGCGAATTAGGAACAAACCAACGCGGGCGTATATAATTTGGATTTAATTTAATTTAGCGGAAAAGAAATCCAAACGTACAATCGACACGTTGCTTCGTGCTCCGTTCAATTTGATCCAACTTGGGCAGTTGGTTTGTTCGTCGAAAACGAGAAAACGCATGTCGAAAATTCTCGCGAGACATATTCGTGGAAATCAAATGATATGTCCACAAGGTGATACTTTTTGCGATTAATCGCGAGTACATCTGTGAAATATTCCGAAAACTTTCCTTTTGCTTTAATAATGAACAAACAACCGTAAAATTAATACAACACGCAACCATACCTTCCTATCTTTTCTCATGATTTCGTCGCGTTTATATTACGGCTGTTTATTGATCGTTGTGCTTAACTGATCACAAACATCATTTTACGGACATATCCTTTCATTTTAACATATTCAAGAATTTTGGGGCTTACGTTTCCTCGCTTCTAACGTCATTCAATCAAGATAACCGCGCCGAGGAAACAGGAGCCTTCAGTGACTTAATTCATTTCCAGCTGTGATTAAAAATAAATCCAGTTTCTACACTTAATTAAACTGAAACTTGCAAAAAAGGACTGACCGGATCTCCCCGTGTAATCTCGCACTTCGAGTTAACATTGAAACGACGATCGAAAGTCACACAAAGATCGCCGGCGGTTTCTGGTATAACTACAAGGAAGAAAAATCAGCGGCGGGGCCGATAATCTAACTGCGCGAGGACACCGACAGGAAACTGGAGCAAAGTGAAAAATATCCAATGACATTAAAGTCGCATTAGACAGAACCGGGTGGAAGCGGAACGGCCGGATCCGGCCGATTAGTTTCCACGTGCGTATTACATGCCAAAAGAGCCGACGGTGAATTTTCACGCGGTCTTCCCGCTCCGTGAGAGAAATTCTTCCGATCTCGCGTACTCCTGTAATCGTAAATAAATTACGGGTTCCGCCGCTGGCAGACATCGAAACGCGCGTATCGCGCGCATGCATCGGAACGCATCCATTTGAAGAAACATTTTCCCCTTATATTATTATTATTATTGCATAACGAATTCCTCTTTGCCAAAAGAAGGGCCTATCCCTACGGAAATGCGTATCGTATTACAAATTAAGGGATCCGCGAGCCAAGCTTGAGAGATATCAGTAGATCACACAGATCCTTGTATCTGTTTTTTTTCAAACTTACATTGACTTTGTTGCAGAGGAGGCTCCAAACCAACATTGAAAAATCGTTATTAAAATCGAGAAAAAGAAAAGAAACGTACCGGTCTCGACTTACCCGGCCGAAGAAATCTGTTTCTACGGCAGGGAGTTCCATTGGAGATGACAAAAATTCGCGATCGCGAAGATTCAGAAACGCAAGTGTGAGTAACGGATCCTTGTATCTTTTTTTTTTCAATGTTGCATTGACTCTGCTGTAAAGATTCAAAATCAAAAATCGAAAAGGCGCGACGAACAGCCGAGATCCTTGTACCTCAAGGTTATCCTGATCATCCGCTCGGAAGACGACGAAGAGGCGCGCGCGAGAGGAAACGGGGACGTGTTTAGGAAAAAAAGCGACGGCACCGGCGTCTACGTACTGTGCGACGCGACGCTCGATTCGAGTCCGACGTCCCGCGCATCGGTTTGATTGATCGCCCCGCGCCGGTTTTATGAAGATATTAACGTAGGGTCGTTTTCGGTGAGCGAGCGGCCGCGCCATACACAGGCCAGCGCAAAAAGGAGCAGCAGGTCGGTGCCGGTTTTGGCGCTGTCTAAGACGCCTGAGCCGACGATCGCACGACCGATAACCCGGTTAACCCCACCAGCCTGTTATTATAATATTTGCCGAGCCGAAATATAGTGATTGCTTATTTGCTCGGGCCCAATTACGGCAACGTGCGCGCGCGCGCGCGCGAGCACGCACGGGGCCTACGGTGAAAGGCCCACGTTCTACGTGACGACGATGGGCGAATAGGTACGAGGGGAGAGGTGCACTTAGTCCTGAATGAGCCAACCACCCACCCCTGCAGCCCGTATCCTATCTACCTGGCTCGGCCGCGTCGGCGACGCTGTAACGATTAGGTTCGCACGATCAGATACCGCCGAGACCTGAGCGTAATGTCTATTATTGCCCGCGGCGGACGCGTTACGTCCAATGCTTCAGCATGGATCGACGGGTTTCCGTGAAAAATCGCGCGTTTCCCTGCTCGTTAACGCCGTTTGGCCGAGTAATGAGAAGCCGAAGAACGTGAAGAGACCCCGTCGAAGGCGCGCGCCTAATCGCGCTCCTAATTGGAACGAAATCGTAACAATCAACTGTCCGTGTTTTTGTGTGCATTTTTCTGCCCAAATGGAATATATATATATATACAGTATGTGCGTGCTCGTTAATAAATGACGAGTGTAGTTACACAATAATAAATTGTATGAATTCCAAAAATGATTCACGTTACACAGTATTCGATATCTTAAGAACTGTTATTGTACATGAAAATCAGGGTGTAGATGTTTCTTAGGGCGAACGACGAAGTAGAAAAAGAAGACGATGATTTCTTCGCTGGTTCACGGCTTCCACAGCTTCAAGAGACCGTCCTCGCTGTAAGAGCACAGCAGATTCTGGTGGGGGTGATGCGCCAAGCCGATCACGTCCTTTTCGTGTATCTGAGAAGAAGCGGAGAATGTAGCTTAGTCGGGACGCTCGCACGGAAAAGATCATTCCGTTGGTGCGACTGAATCTTCCGCCGCCTGGGGGCCAGACGAAAATTCAGTCGTGGGAACAGAAGGATTTCTATAGGAGGTGTCAGCCGCTCAGCCGAGTTTCAACGCGGCTGAATGTTCACACGAATGTCACGGTGATAGAGACACGTCTTCCTTATCGCTGAATTTCCACCCTGTTCAACCGCAGAAACGTTTGTTTCCCCCCCCACTCACGAGATGTAAAAGTACTCACATTCAGAGTTCTCTCGAGCTTTCCCGACGACGTGGAGAAGCAGTACAACACGAGATCCTCGCCGACGCAGTAGATAAATTCGCCACGCGGGCTCACGACTGTGCACACGAAGTCACCGCCCTCTCGTTTGCCGCTGGAGAACGACCTGACGATTTGCCCCTGCATGTTCATGATCACCACCGTGTTGGAGCGATTGCACACGACAAAGTGCTCCGGATTGCGGGGCAGAGAATGTATGCTGTTGACCGTGAGGTCGGCGGCGCCCAACGACTTGTAAGTGCCTATGCATTCGGTAGTCTTCAGGCTCCAAATCTTCACGGTTCCGTCCGACGAGGCGCTACGAGGTGAAATCAACGGGGCACAAAGAATGATACCGATCATGCGTTGTGACAAGGGAAGCCCCTCACCTCGGGGGAAAGTTCTCAACAATACCTGATTATGTTGTGACCGTCTGGGGAGAAAACCACTTCGTTTACGAACGAGCTGTGCCCACGGAATTCCTTGAGAGTCTTCCCCGATTTAAGGCCGTGTATCCTGCGAGGCAAACGTCAGTGTTATTCGATCTATCGCTGAAGTATATACTCGCCTGTACATAACTCTTTCCCTCCGCACCTTATGGTGGTATCGAACGAAGTAGATAAGATTTGACTATTGTCCCTGCTGAATTGCAGACAGGTAACGCCCTTCGAATGCGCCTTTTCGAATCTCCTCAAGCACTGTCCGCTCTGCACCCTCCAGACCTTGATCTTGCCGTCCTGACCGCCGCCGGCCAGCATCTCGCTGTCGCGGCTGAAGGACATCGACAACACCGCCTGCTCCATCATCATAAAGTTGTCCTGCGCCTGGTACTTCAAGTCTTTCCTGATTTTGCCGGTCGTGAAATTCCACACCTCGATGAAGCCGTCCACCGAGCCGGTCACCAGGTACTGGCCGTCGGGCGAGAAACGCGCGCACTCCACGTGCGACTTCTGGCCAAACTTGATCTGCTTCGACAGCTGCGTCGGATACTTCTCGTCCTCCTGATCACGAACCGCCGCTTTACCTCGGAACAAGTCTATCGTGGTCCCCGGAGGCAGCAGACCCTGATGTTGCTGCCACTTCAACGCTTGGCCCAACAAGGCCAGCAATCTACTGGAGGGTACTACGGATACTTCACCGGCGAGAGCAGTAGCTATGTACGCTCTTCGCTTCTCCTTCGTGCTTCCATCCGGGTATGCCTCGCGCGGGTCGAAATACGAACGTGCGAGCAGATTTTCTGCGGGTGATAATAGATCAGCACTTGCCTGGTAAAAATGATTCGCGAGTTGCAACATACCTAAATGAATGTATCTTTCGGGCTCTTGCTGCTTCATCATGATCATGGGATCAGTTTGCCTTAGCAAAGAACGCGCCGCTCCCAACTCGCGTAATTCAATTAGCTCTAGGACAACCTGAAGAAGTGATGGGTCTTAAATATTGTTTCTCTTAAGAGAAAGTATAACGGTTCTTTCAGTTAACATCTTAATGTCTTAATGCGACACTTTATGAGCCAAGTCTCTTGAATCAGAAGATATGCTCTGTAAATATGGAACATATTTTTGGTTCGAAACCCTTACCTGTTCATACAAGTCTATAAGCTTCTTGTCAGGTAACTTTAACGACTGTATTGCTTTTAAAACTGTGTCCCAATGGCCGTTATTTATGTCAGCAACAAATCCATCCACACTGTCAACTGTATTCAACGATACACCTGTTTCTTCCTGTTTGAAGAAAAGTTATCAATACGAGGCTGAACGCATATCGAGACGATGCGTCGACTAAGAGTTAAACGAACCTGTAAAGTCTGTAGGGTCTTCACAAGATTTGACTCCTTGAGATATTGTTGTATCAATCGAATCACACTGAAACATAACGAACGTTATTGATACGACGCAAGTCATTATTATTAGACGTGTTATTATGATAACTGAAATAACTGAAATTGCTGGAGCAATTCACTCACTCGGCGGATTCAATTTCGATCGACATTTTCGAATATTTCGCAGTTCATGTACACGAAACAAACACTGATTATAACCTAACAGCTGCTCGATATTCGGCGATTCAGTTGATGATACAATCATATCATTAACGAGTAAGCTCAATGTTGGTGAAAACAATCATAATTGTATAATTTGCTTTCCAGGTGATATCGAGCAAATTAAAAGCGTCTGAACAATTATCGTCCTGTCTAAAGTGGGGAGGGGAAAGTAGAAACACGCAGATTCGTTCTTTTTAGCGGCACTGGAATACCGCACGGGAATGAAGTTGGAACACGCGAGGGCAGCACTGTAGCAGTGGAAGAAATATATCTTTAGTAAGAAACGCCAGCAATATGATAACATCTGATATCCCTGGAAACTAGAGATTTCAGTAGAATACTTCCCGAACGACTTCATTGTTATTACTTTTGAGGAAATTACAGTCCTTGGAATTTTCGCTACTTTTCACGGGTTTGTTAAAAAGAACAAACCCGTTTGAAATAAAGTTTCGAATGCTCTTGACACTACCAACGTAACAATATCGATTGACTATAAGTGATTTTCGACAGATGGTGCTGCAATCGCGTGCTAGATTCTCCCGTGTCTAATTTTCTCTTTGGTTAGCGCAGCGTCAATAATACATAAACTACCCAAATAAAATGCGGCTATTTAAAATCTGTTCGTTGACAATGTGAGAGCCACAATCTTCCCTCGGGCCGTGAGTACTTTGCGACGTTCGTTTTCTCTCCGTACACTTATTTATAATTTTGTAGCAACGGAAAATAACGCTCATTGACGCACAATATTTTTTATCACGAAATGACATATTTCGTTGCATCTCTTATGTTTCGTCCATTATGTTTTCTATGTTCTAATTAAAAAAAATAAAAGCCGTGGTACTTTGACGATAAAATTATTGGAAACAGCTGTGTAATTCAGAAATGAATGTTAAAATTTGTTTATATTTGAACCACGGGTATTTGATCATTTCTAGTTTTAAGATATCAATTTTCACACTTTTCAGATTAAAGGCCATTCTTCTCTAATCATGAAAACTATCCTTTTGTTTGTAATTTTGCTTCAAACATGGGGCAGTACAATTCAGCTATGTCCGCAACATTGTTCGTGCAAACCAGTTGGTGCTCAAGCTGAGTGGTTGCGTCTTAAGTGTGGTGACCGCTTACAAGAAATCAAGGATGTGGATATCAATAGAGTTAGCGTAGAACTTATACAACTGTAAGATTACTCTATTCTTGATTTATATTTTCAGTGGCAAGGATTTAACAATAAATTGCTTAATTGATTGCAGAGACTTGAGCAAAAATGCCATTTATGTCATTCAACCGGACACATTTGTGAATCTAACAAATCTGAAGAGACTTGATTTGTCCAAAAACAAAATTAACTCTATAGGCGAGGGTTGTTTCAATGGCCTTGAAAATTTGGAAAGACTGTAAGAATTTGTAACAACCACCTGATTTCCCCTTAATATTCTATAATCTCATGACATTTGCCATTTCAGAGATTTAAGCCAGAACCAGATATCAACAATAGACAGTTATGCGTTCAGAAAATTATCAAACCTCAAGCGTCTGTAAGTCTCGATAACGTGAACATAATTGTGTATAAATGTTTTTTTTATAAAAAATATAAGTATTTCTTTTTATTATATATATTCTTTGCTTCGTTGCTAGCGATTTGTCTGGAAATAAAATAACAGCTCTGGCGCCATCCTTATTTCATGATTTGCTGGCCTTAGATCGCTTGTAAGTTAAAGCGTTCTTTATTTATGCTGGTGTACATTAATTATTTACACTAATGTCGTTCCCTTATTATTCTACTTTTATATCATTATTCCACAAAAATACTGAGTTTGTATCTGCATATTTTAGGAAATTAAGCGGTAATGGTTTAATTACTTTAAAAGAAGGAACGTTCCATGGGCTCAAGATGTTAAAACAGCTGTGAGTAACCCAATTCGCGCGTCTTTCTCGCCATGGCTAAATCACAAGGGCGAAATAAAATCTAGGAAATTAATAACGTGATTTATGTTTCAGGGACCTGTCTAACAATCCTTGGGATTGCAATTGCGACCTGTATTGGTTTAGTAATTGGGTCTATAATTCCTCAATTAAATTGAAGTAACGTATACCATGATTACTTACAATTGTTCGTCTCTATTCAAGTAATGGTGGATAGAAAATTTTTTTGCACCACTACGAAGAAAAAAATATAACTACGTTACTGTCACCTTTACGAGCGGGAGAGATGAATGCCGTAGTTTGCAACGTATTGCTTTTCAATAGTGGTTTTACAGTCGATTTGACGTTTCAGTCCGCCGCCGAAATGCGCGTCGCCGGAGTACGCCGAGGGGCAGCTACTGAAGAAGATCAAATCCATGGAGGAGCTTCAGTGCCAATGGATATCGCCGGCGATCGAGATCCGACCGGTTCAGAATCAAGTGGTCTTCGCCGGCGACTCGATCACCTTGAAATGCAGGGCGCCCAGCATCACGATAGACAAAAGCGCCAGGCTGAATTGGCTGTGGTATCCTAACGCGTCCGCCGAAGTCATGGATCTGAGTGCTTTCAAGGATCCGCGGACGAATCTGCCCAACATCAGGGTGGACAACAGGTATCTTTCGGACAGCGGCATCGTCGACAGGTAACGTGGATTTTCTCAGGCTTGGGGGGGAGAAAAAAAAGATGAGAAGTATCACCCAACGTTGGCAGATGCATCCTTCTTTTCCAGCGCCCTCAGTATAGTTCCGGTTAAAGAGGAGCACAACGGACAATGGAATTGCCTGCTGGTTTCCGTGAACGGCAACAAGTCGAAGGCGGTCAGCGTGATTGTGATATCTGAACACACGCGATATTGTCCTTTAGCAGGTAAAAAGGACTCGTGTTCTCATCGCGTTTCTCTTTACATTTTGAGTGAAATTCAATATTTCAATGAACACTCGCGATCGTTCCTTCCTTCAATTCTACCCTACAGACTTCATAGTAGAAACTCGTGGTTTTTTTTGCCGATTTTTATCGGCACTTTAGAGAGCTCGAAATAAGCTATAATGCAAGATAACGGTTAATCGTGGGGCCTACTTTCAGTGACGAAGAACAACAAAGGCGTGTACACCTGGCCGAAGACGATAGTGGGATGGAAAGCGGAGCTGCCGTGCGAAGGTAATCGGCTGTCCGGGCTGATGCAGGCGCCGTTGAAGGCTTCGTATCATTGCAACACGAGCGGCGAATGGGAGCACCTGAACACGGACTCGTGCCCGTACATATCTCACACGACCAAGATCCTCGAGCAGTTCTCCAAAGTGAATCTGTCCCTGACGAAGGGCAGTCTGCTGGAGACGGCGAAGAGGTTCAAGAATTACACGGGGAACGGCGCGGTGAAGCTGACGGACCCGGTGGAGGTGGATTTCGTCGTGCGCACGATAGAGAATTACCTGAACTTCCTGGCGGACGAGAAGGAACTCGGCGCGATGTTGATCGACATCGTCAGCTCGGTGACGAGACTGCCGAAGGAGATGCTGAAGCGGGCCGAGGTGAAGTTCAGGGCGTGCGCGAGGCTGGTGAGAGCGATCGAGCGCATCACGGAATTCACGCCGTCCATACAGTCGCACAAGAGGCACATGGCGCTCGAGGAGTTCCGCGTGAAGCGCGACAGCTTCGCCGGGCTGACGTGCACGTGGTACGCGAACGTCGCGGACACCGCGGACACGGAGAGGTTCCTGCACTGCACGACGATCAACCGAACGACGCCGATCAGCGCCAAGGACAAGACGATAGAGGCCTCCATTCAGCTGCCCGGCTCCTTGCTGCAACACTCGATCGACACCGGCGTGGCTCACCAGCTCATGATCTCCATGTACAGCGACAGCAGACTGTTCCCCAAGAGAGCCGCCAACCACACCATGGACGTATCGACGTGCGTCGTCGGCGGTAAACTGAGTAAGCTGGAAACCTACGGGGAACTCGCGCTCTCCCGCTTCCCTCGGCTCGCGTTATTTCCCTTCTTTCTTCCTTTTCCTCTTTACCTTCTCTTAAATATTTCATACACACTTTATATCTTATAGGTCAACCTTAGAATATAATAATCCTATGTCTTGGAGGGGAGGGGGGGGGGCGTGATTGAAAGGGGGAGAACTCGAACACTTCTTAACGTATATTTTCCAAATGTAGAATAGACGTTGGCAATTGGCGGAGTGAGAAGCAAGATAGGAGTCGACGAGAAATATCGAAGTCTCGGAAGTGCACGTTGGTGATCCGGGGGATCCTGCGTTAGTTCTCTCTTTCGTCCTCGGCTGATACTTTACTCATCTGTTCTCTCTCGCAGTCGGAACATCGGTGCGGAATCTCTCGGAGCCGGTTTACGTGATGCTGAAGGCGCCGTTGTATCATTACAACGGGAGAAGGCCGCAACCGGTGGTGTGGGACGAGACGTTGAACAACGTGGGAGGCTGGACCAGCGACGGATGCCACCTGACGAACCTGCTGAACAACCTGATAGTCTTCCACTGCGACAGACTGGGGTATTACGGGCTCTTGCAGGAGGTCTCGCACCTCGATATGAACGGGAACAGGTATAAGGGAGCTTCCTTGGTACTCGCTCGTTTCCCCTCCGACGCACTTTCACGGACGTGTAACTTGCAGTATGCACGGAGCGAAATTCAGATACTCGCACCCGGCGATATACGTCGGGAGTTTCGTGACGATAACGTGCCTGATGATCATGTCGGTGACGTACATCATCTCCTACACGTCCGTCACGATGCCCAAGAAGGCGAAACACTCGGTCATCAACACCTGGTTCGCCATGGCGCTGTTGTCGTTCCTCTACAGCATCGGCATCCAACAGACGGAGCACATCGAGATCTGTCAGGGTGTCGGCCTCGCTCTGCATTACTTGTCTCTGTGCTGCCTGCTGTGGATGGCGGTATCCGCCAGGTGAGCGCTTTCCTAAGACTCGCGCTGAAAGATCGATCAGGATATTGCAAATTTACGTAGTCTCGGAGAAGCCCATTCCGCAACGGTAAGTCTGATCGTAAGCGGGAGTAAGCGAAATTCAGCCGGTCGGAGTCTCAGTTGCACCTTCATCTTCTGGAAACGTTGAGCGGTATCCTGAATCTGTCTTACGCGAGAGCCTTCGGGGCTGTCGGGAAACCGCGAAACGGCAAGTTCCTCCTTTCCAGCAACATGTACAAGAAGCTGGCGAAACCCGGGCTGGACGCGATACCGGACGAGGAGCTGCCGGACCAGCCGATACCGAAGCCGCTGCTGGGGCTCTACCTGGTCGGCTGGGGCGTGGCCCTGATAATCTGCGGGATATCCGGGGCGATAAACCTGCGCGAGTACGCCGGCTACTCGCACTGCTTCCTGACGTCCGCGCCGGCCCTGGCGGCGCTCTTCATCCCCTCGGGGATCCTGATCGCCTACCTGCTGATCTTCCTCTCGCTCATCAGACGGGCGATTCAGAGCGTCGACACGAACGCTCAGCTGTCGGAGGGTACCCAGGCGACGGAGAACATGGACCTGGAGCTGCTGGAGCCGAACCCGTGCGGGGACCGCGCGAGCGTGCACAGCACGCAGACGGTCTCGTCCGACATCGAGGACCCGGAGCACTCGCAGTTCACGCAGTGGAAGGGCCAGGTGATCATGCTGATCCTGTACCTGCTGTGCTGGGCCGACGCGGCCGCGGTCACGGTGAAGCCGTTCGGCTCGCACGCGCCGTTCGCGGAGACCGTGTTCGCGGTGCTCTACGCGGTGACCGCGAGCTCCCTCGGCCTCTTCGTCCTCTTCTTCTACGGGATCGCGCGCAACGACGTGCGCAGCCAGTGGCTGAGGATGCGCTGCTGGCTGGAGAAGCGGAAGAGCCGGTGCTGCCGCACGAGGAGCGTCTGCGACGCGGCGATCCCCGGCCAGCCCCTCGTGCAGAACTTCGTGCCGGCGTTGAACTCGCAGGCCACCCAGCCGATATCCGACTCGAACTCGGTCGCCTCCTCGAGGAACACGAACCGCTCGCGGATCTACAACGGCGGGTCGAAGCTCGCGGAGCTCGCGCCGGCCAAGCCGACCGCCGGCAACGTCAACCTGGTGGTGCTGCACCGGCAGCAGTACCGCTCGAACAACTCCGTCACGACGTACACCGAGCCGACGTCGGCCTGCGTCGAGATGTTCTACAACCCGCACCAGAGCGGCGTCGCCCGGAAGTTCTTCAAGAAGCAGCGCCGCCACACGAAGAAGAACAACCTGGGCCCGAGGAAGCAGGGGGACGGCGGCGCGACCAGCGACGGCGGCAGCTGCGTCTCGGTGCCGCGGCCGAAGGTCAACAACAGCCTGGAGCGCAGCATCCTGAGCAGCAGCGCCAAGGTGAACAACACCAACATCCACGTCGAGCTGAACCCGATCAACGACATCAAGAACGTGAACATACTGTCGGACAGCGGGGGCAGCGTGTCCGAGGAGCGGCCGATGCGCTTCGTCATCGGGCAGGAGAGCCTGATGATGAGCCGCAGCGTGAAGAAGATGAACAACGAGCGGCCGGAGGAGCGCGGCGCGCCTAAGAGGACCGACTCGGACGCGGACGCGAAGACCGACGAGGAGTGGCAGCTGCGCAACGTCTCGCAGCAGTGCAGCCTGGAGTACAGCTCGGAGATGGAGACGCAGATGACCAGCGAGCGCAGCGACCACAACCTGCCGGAGATCTGCGAGAGCGCGGCGGAGACGACGAAGGACGCGGAGGAGCGCCGCTCGAGCGCGCGCTGCCCGAGCGAGGCCGACGACGAGCTCCTGCCGCGACCCTACCTCTCCAGCAGCATGTGCTGCTTGCCCTCCGAGCACAGCGGCCCGCTCAGCAACAGCTACTGCAACTCGTTGAACGACGTGGCGTCCACGGGGAGCGCGAGGCCGCGCCTCCGCGAGTACTCGAAGCAGCCCAGCAGCAGCAGCACCAGCTCGAACCAGCTCTGCGAACGGCTGGCCGGCTCCGAGCGCTCCCTCTTCGAGATCAACAGCCTGGCCAGCGACCACCCGCACGCCTGCTCCCTCGCCAACCTCCACTGCGTCTCCGACAAGAGCCTGCCGAGGAACAACCCGTTCGACCAGCCGGACCTTCCGCGTGGGAAGAACTTCTGCTCCCTGGCGGATATCGCGTCCTCGATCGGCGGCTTGTACGATATCGGCAATCTCGAGTCGCCGGACGACGACGAGCAGGGGGACGTCCACGAGCTCACGAGCGACGCTAGGATGTTCGACGAGATCTACCTGGACGACGAGCCGGTCAGCCAGCTGCCGGTCGTTAAGAAAGAAACCAGCGTCTAGGGCGTCTTCGGGAGTTCGCGTTCCTCGTGTACATCGCACCTGGAGTATCTCCGCTCTTCGCCCAGATGTGGACGTTTCACCGTGAAGTTTTATCGCGTGAAACCAACTCGTGATATGCTAGTAATGATTTTCTCCCGGCGGAAGCGCTCCGGCAGTTTCGACGTCATCTCTGTTTCTTCCAAATTACGCTCTTTTTTTTTTATCCTCGATGCGTCAGCGAATGATCAGACGATTCTCGCGTCGGAAGAGATGCTCCAAGTGACGTCCGTTCGTGTCGATGCTGCATTGCGATCGTCGAATATCTGAAGTACGTAAATCAGTCCGGGAGTGACGGCAAAGTGTGCGTGGCAAAACTGGCGGAAATACTCCAGGTGGGGAAAGTTGCCGCCCCGACCTGCGCATGTTCTCGCGCGTAATTCCCCGCACGTAAACCGTGTAAAACTGATGACAAATCCGATCCGGAGACTAGCGTTTCGCGATTCAACTCCGCTCGGCTGTTTCGTTCGACACCTGCACAGTACACACGTTCGTGTCTCATATTTTTTACGTGGAGAACGGGAGAGAGACGCGCGACACGCTCCTGAGTACTATTTATAACGCGTTTAGGAATGCACGGTTATTTAAAGAATTTGTACATAGTGAAAATTTAGTGTTCATATATATATATATATTACGAGGTATCCTTAACCGAATTTGAACGGTTGTTTTTAACTAATGTAAGCATTTTACGCGGCTCTGAGGCCCGAAATTTCCGCGTTCGGGGAAATCGCGAATTCGACACTTTCTTTTTCCGGATAGTGGGCGAACAAAAAAGGGGAAGGGGGGGAGGTTCAATGCAGTTTGGGAACTTTGTTATCCACGATATTATTCGCCGTATGCCAAACGTGTTGTATTGAATTTGTCACGTGAACGCGACTGACGACTAAGTAAAATCATTTTGGCTGTGAATCGTCCATTTCTTTAAACACACAACGCCATCAGCACGTTCCATCCGCGACGACCATCGCATCTTTCGCTATCACGTTTTTTCGTAAAACCGCAGTTACTCCCGTAGTTTTACACACGTTCCCGTACTTTTGCGGTGACTCTAATTACGATTACGATATTGTGTCTCACCTCGCGAGGGTGACACCCCGCTTTGTATAGTTGCCTAAAAGAAAAAAAAAGCAGTCCGACAGATAGAAATGGAATCTCTGTAAACCGAAGACTGAATATCGAGGAAGAATTGAATCCTTGCTGGCGAGGGCTGAGAAAAAGGCGACGCCTCGTCCCGCCAGTACGATTACCACCGACCGTAAAAATACGTATGCATGTAATACTTTAATTGCGACAAGTTCTCCGCGTCCGACGCGCAATATTATACTGTAAATAGCGTTCGATTGCGTTTTTTAAGATGAAGCTCGATTTAAAATGTAGCTCGTGTTGAGCGCGTTGAGGTAACTTGAGAGACTTTATACTGGTTCTTTGTCACTTGTATTATTTTTACTTTTATATATACTGATTTTCTTTGAAANTATATATATATATATATAAGATTGTACAAGTTACTAATTATACATGTATATTATACACGCTCGGTGTTTGTTCCATCACCCATTATCTCCGACGTTACGTAACACTCGATACCTTGGAAGCACTTTGATCCCCGAATCCCGAGTGGAAATCTCGACATTCGCCAAGATTTCCGAAGTTACTCGCACGACCCAGGGCGGGAGCCCGAAACATCAGACTGTTCAGTCGTTTTTCGCGACTTCCGATCGCTGCCCTCGACGTTTCTTTCTCCCCTTCAAGGGAGGAAACTTGCGAGAAATTTCGAGAGTAACCGATATCGTATTTTCACTTCGTTTTACCTCGTGCAATCCCGGTCGGTCGGAAGGCAGCTCGCAATTAACGAGCGACCTAGACCCGCGCGTCGTCCGGCTCCGCATCGTCCAGCCAGTCCTTGGGGTGCCTGAGAACTTCCAGAAGCTGGAACTCCCTCGAACCGATCTTGGGTTCGTGCATGTACTCCCACTTGGCGGTGAGAGGCAGCGACATGAGTATGCTCTCGTACCTGGCGCCGGGCGTGTACAGGCCGAACTTGGTGCCTCGATCGTAGATCAGGTTGAACTCGACGTATCGGCCGCGCCGCAGCAGCTGCCACTGCCGCTCGCAGTACCCGTACCCGTCGTCCTTGTGTTTCTCCACCAGGGGAATGTAGGACGGGACGACCGCCTGGGCGCACGACGTCACCAAGCGGAAAACCTCGTCCTGGCCGGGCGCGTCGAGGTCGTCGAAGAATATGCCGCCCACGCCGCGCCGCTCGCCCCGGTGCACGATGTGGAAATAATCGTCGCACCACTCCTTGAACCTCGCGTAGTACGCGGGGTCGTGCTGGTCGCACGCCGCCTTCAGGGTCCCGTGAAAGTGCCGCACGTCCTCCTCGTTCAGGTAGTAAGGCGTGAGGTCGGTACCGCCGCCGAACCACCACTGAGTGCTGCCGTCCGGGTTCTCCACCTCGAAGTAGCGGTAGTTGAAGTGCATCGTCGGGACCATCGGATTGCGCGGGTGGATCACGGCGCTCACGCCGGCCGCGAAGAACGACACCGAGGAGTCCGGCATCTGCCTGCCGCGCGCTCTCATCTGCTGGACGGCGCCCGGAGGCAGCACACCCGTCACCACGGAGACGTTCACGCCGGCCTTCTCGAAGACTCGCCCGTCCTGCAACACGCACGTCACACCGCCGCCGCCCTCCTTCCTGGTCCAGCGATCCACCAGGAAGGAGCCGTCGCTCTCCAGCGACTGCAGCGCTCTGCAGAAATCCGCCTGGGTCTTCATCACCAGCAGTTCCATCCTCGTTCGCATGCTGTTCCGACTCTTCCGCAGCTTCTCCACATCTGTGATAGGTTCTGACATGAAGATTTCGACATCCAGCCCGTCCTGCGCCGCCAGCACTGTTATGCTCGACGCACCGTACGCTGCGACACCTGTCACGATACCCGCCCCGACGTACTTCAAATGCCTCGATCTGCTCCACGGGCCGGAGCATTTGAAAGCAACGGAGCCCAGGCTCTTCAAGTTCCTCAGGATAAACCTCGCAGCCATTACTCCGGACTACCGGGTCAATCTGCAATGAAATGTCCGACTTTCTCCAGCACAGTCACGAGGTATGCGCGAAATGTAGCTGAAAGCTTCGTTCTTTATTGATATATTGTAAGATAACTCAGTGTAATTAGGCGTGTCAAGTGCTGATGATATCTGTGCTTATGAGGTGGAGTAAAATACAGCCAACTTTGCATACCTTAGGTTTTTATGTATATATGCAGTATCTGCTCGAAATATAATTGTTAGAAGAATCGTTTGTATTTATCTCTTATTTGACACCGCTAAGAATATACTTGTCTTTCACGGAGTAGATGTGAGTTCGCACTTTAGAGAGGTGATCATTTCAACACGTCCGATTTATTTAACCAGGTTAGGAAATCAGCTGATAATCGTGAGCGATAACAGACGTGTGTTCGTTTTATTCGCACTTTCTGCACCTCGCTATTTATCACTTAACCCCTACCGGGAATCTTGAGTCATCTAATGCAATATTATTTTGAAGATACAATTGATACTTTGAACAATCTTTTCACTGAGTTACGCAGTATATCTTTGTTCAATACTTAAAAAATTGTCATTTTCAAAGAAATCGTGTGCAACATTGTCATCTCAAAGTTTTATTCCTTGATAATATTATTTCTCCATTACTCAATACACGAGTTGTTTCAAATGTATAATTTTACATTTCTGTCTCTTAATCAAGTACCCACTATACGTTCTAGATTCAAGAACCATGTCGGATGTAATTAAAGCAGAGGTACAGATGGCAGAATTTAATATGATTAATTACACAAATAGCGACTATTCAATAACATATATACATGCTATTTAGTCGTCATATTCCGTACATCCAACGATAAGGTCCGATATCTTTGTTTAATGGTACTCTCATCGTAATATGTGTTATATTTTCTCCATTTCTGTCTACGCTTGGGATTTTTCCCACTCCGTAGTGATGGCATCAAGCCTAAAGAAAAAACAAAATAAAGGGAAATAAAGCTATATTGTCTCTTACAATTTATTATAATATACACATATATGATACATGAAAGTAGACATTTACAAACCTGCTTCCTGAGCCATAGTCACCATAATGCCAATCCTTTTCTGTTGTATGTTACATAGACCGGTTATCCTACGTGGTAACATGCAACCATCTGATCGTAAGAACTGACTCAGAATAAGAACATCCTAAAAGAAAGGAGAAAATAACTTTAGATTTAATCAACTCAATTGATTTAATATACCACCACGTAAAAATCACTACGGAACTTACTGTATGTTTAACATCAAGTCCTGTGGCACAGATAGGACAGGCCTTCGATTGCAGTTTCAATTTTCGGCGTGTATCTTCCGGTACCCTTGCACCTTCGATAATTAAGGTGTTACCTTCCTTCTTTGTAATAACTATGATAAAAAGTTCAACATAAACTTCGTGTGTGGTGTGGGAACGTAGGTTAGAATATTACTTAAGATTATATCTTTTATCTGCAATATTCAATGGTAATTTTACTTTCTCTTAAACGTGTAGTCGCAGACAACGATATATTCCTGTTAGATTCGGGGAGAATGATATTTTTCGCAAACTGTCTCACAATCCGGTATAAAAGCGCCATTTTTGCAAACTACACAAGACTCGAGGTTTGTTCGTTTCCGGGTACGTTCTTGAGAGATATTACGAATGGTCTGTTCTTTTTAGCTGAACTAGCTGCACTAATTCAAGAAACGTACGCACACACATTGAAGCGTGTGAAGCATACGTACGAGATTTTCTCGTGCTCAGATGCGTAAATTTCTAAAAACTAGCACAGCTAGTTCATCCACAACCAGTGGCACATGTTGCTTGTTTTCGTCCTGGATTGCTTGCTGGATAGAAATACTGCGTTCTGATTGGTGCATTTCCAAAAATAGATGACAATACACCAATCAAAACATAGTATTTCCATCCAGTAAGCGATCCAGCGCGAAAACAAGCATCGTGTGCTGACTTAAGAAGAACAGACCACGTGTTGCAAGAGCCACACGATAGCCAATGAATGCATTTAATCCTACACATTCGTTGGGCACTTGTATCCAATTGGTGCATTCTTTTAGGTTTAAAAATATACATCAATCAGATGTGAGAGTTTAAGCGCTCAGTGAGCGGTGTAGTACCGAAGGTAGCCAATCAACTTTCCTCTCTGATAAAAAAAGCGGCAAATTGACTCACATAACCTTTCCCTAGGAGCGAAAACACACGAGAAAAGTGAGAAATTTTACATAGAAAGTTCCACGTTTCCGTAATTCGTAAAGTTACAAGATCGCTAAAATCGTCGGAAAATCACTGAAAGAAGCATCTACGTTTTCATGTTTCCGATTTACAATGCGATTGGTTTAACTGTTAGCGGAAGTTCTCCATGTGTACGTTTTTTCTTCAACATGTCCCTCCAACGGTCGGAGACCAACGTCGGATTTAAGTAATGGCGGAATAACAGAGAAATGTGATAAAACCATCCCTGCCGAATCGGTGTAACAACATTGTCCAAGTAAAAATTTTTAAACAAGATTCCTCATAATCGCAAACAAGATCGCAAACACAGGAGTGTTACGCAAACGTCCCGTTGGTTACAATCGAAAGAATAAAATCTCGAACGACTATTAAAATATATGCCTGTATCTTCCTCTGTTAATTGTAACGTTAATTGTATTGCCAAAGTGCTGTGATAAACGGTTATTGATCGTATAATATCTCCGCAGGACGAAGATAAAATGCCAAGATGAACGATAAATTTGTTAGAGTTTAGGTTGAAACGGACGAGCCTCGAAGTCTGGATTTATTCTTTATATATCACATTTTTTACTTGTATGTGCGATGTGCACGTGTGCTACTTGACGTGTTAAATAATAATTGCAACATGCCACAAATATCAATACATCGGAAAGCTAAGAGAGCCACCGTGCTCACCAAACGAACACAGTTTCTGAAGAAATATCGCAACGAACGATCGTACAGACCATGTGAGTTCACGTCGGTTCATCTCGGATTTTACCTGCCTTCATTGTGACGGCTTCAGTGATAAACTTGTTCCTTTGTAGTATATGAAAAGTTAAAGAACAACAACAGCTACCTGGCCAAGGCACTTTCGCAAGAGAAGCAGAACTGTCAGTCATTGTTCTCACAAAATCTCGCTCTGATCGCAGAAGTGCAAGAGTTACGTTTAGCGTGTACAGCGCGAGATGTAAGTATCCTCGATATTGATGAATAGAATTTACAAGAAAGAACATGTAGGTATTTACACTTGTCGTCCATTTCAGAATGTGATTTCTAATGTACTGAGTAACGCCAAAGAAACATTGAAAATGTTGGTCACTATGTCCGGTTATATGACAAATTCTATTTCCATATGTCAGGAATTTGCTGCTTCCAATACTAATTTGAGACTGTCATCTTCTTCGGCGGGAAGTAAGGAATATTAATAATAGCAATATGTCGCTAATCGGTTACGAGGCCTTCCTTCCCTAACATTTTATGATACATTGATACCACATCGTCGGTACAATGATAAATTACTTTACTTCATAGTATTCATATTTACACTGGAATGTTTCAGGAAAAGAATCCAACAGAAGGCTGTCGACCAAATCGCCAGCTAAAGGTGTGGTAAAGCCTATGGTGAGTGGGCATACTATTACGAAACCTACGATTAACTTGAGCCGAGTTAACATGCAAAATATTAATAACCCGTCGAGGCTAAGCGACATACAGGAAATACCCACACCTGAGAGAAGCCAGGATATCAATGAGGCCAGATCACCAATTGCTGTTTCCATTCCTATCACACAGCTACACAGATATGTATGTCTGTCGACACGTAGAAACTTCTGACGTACCACTGAATTACGTAAATTAGGAAGCGAACTAGGATTTCTTTTTATAAATAACAACATTTTAGGAAAATGGCCGTGCATGCAGGTTGCCAGAAAGAATAACAGTTCCCTCGCCTAGAGTTAACAGTATGACGAATTATATAAATGTGCACATTCAGTTTCTTACTTCTCAACTAATACAACGGTTTACATATGAGTATAATTGCAGAGGATAGTGAACAAAGATTGAAAAAAAGGAAGAATCGTTCGAAGAGATTGTCAGGATCATTTTCACGAACGAAACCGAGCAGATGGTCCGGCGAAACTACACGAAGTACGGAATATGCTAATCAATTGAGTAGTCCCACAGTGAAGCTTAATGATGTTTCCAAATTACTGCAAAATGCTCAAAGTATTAATATAAAGACGGTGAGCAATTTTCGTTCATATATCATCAGAAATATTTCTAATGTCCTGTCAACGATTAACGACACATTGATCAAGTTTGGAGTTTGCGCATAAAATATGTCTTTAAATTTCCTTTTAAAAAAAAACGCAAAGACTTTTTGCCCAACTCAATAACTTGTATCACGTTAATCCATCTTAACGTAACTCTATCATCACCTGATATCCTGTCTTACTTTTGTCCACGTATGCATCTCCCAATCCAATCTACACATCCTAATTAATGTATCGTTATTATTTCCACAGCTGATTGATGACAATAAGATCGATGATGTTGAAATGCATGAGAGTAGCGATGACGAGCCTCACGATGCGTTGGACAGAAATATCGTGATACCCGAGACGCAATTGTCCATCCATTTAGACGAGGTGGATGAAGTGTATGCGAAACATCCTCACGCACAAACGAAGGAAAAGAATCCACGAAAGGATTGGAGCAGGAGTTCGAACGTGGCGGAAAATTCGAGACTGTCGCAGAACAACGCGGAGGCTTGGCAAGATCCGCTGGAAGGCCCGAGCTGGTTGCTGGACAATGTAGAATCGGATGGTAACGAGCAGGATCTGGACGTTGCCGGTGTGAACAACCGTGTATCTCAGCGCAGTTCAAAGGTAACGACAACGTATAGCGACGATTCGAGCGACAGTGAAGATACAGAGGACGAGTCACCACCACCACCACCACTGCCAGACTCGACCGATGCAGAAGTTCTGAACGGAGACTCAATTATTGCTGATCGCGCGAGGAACGATCATTCTCCCGACGGCAACGCTATGGACGATACTTTCTACGGCGATGTGTTTACAGGGCCCACTCGCGATAGAAATTTCAACATGATCGAGGAAGAAGACGATGGTACGACGAACTTGGCGCGTTTCATCACAATGAGACGCGGCAATTCTTCGGTTGTGGAGGAGACAGAGGACTTCACGCTGATGATGCAGCGTCAACCGATGCGAAATCTGAAATTCGATATCAGCGAGCTACGTTTACCCGTCTTGGAGGGGTCAGTGATCAACCCTACTGTCGGCAACGACATCGAAAGTGAAGTGACCACTGCGATACAGAGAATAACGAACTTTCGGATACCGTCTATGTCGAATCAGAGCGCGAACGAGTCGGAGATCGAGCCGACCACCATGATCAAGGTGCCACTGGCCCTAATTGACGATCACGATGGTGCATCGACACTAGAGAGGGGTAAGCATTCGAGTCAAAAGAAAAGAAAGTCAAAGTCGTCCAGCCCGAGAGACAACGTGAATCACGACACTGAAAACGGTGCGACGGTAGTGAAAAAGACGAAGCAGAAGAAAGTGAGGAACAGACAGGACCCGAGCGCGGCGAAGGTTGTTTTAGAGAAGCTCAACGAATCTAGCGTCAAGGCATCGCCCGACGACACGATATACCGAGGCATTAACAGTGACTCGTACGTATAGATCCAAGTTGTTCCGCAGTTTGTACGCGTTGACAATATCTCTTTCCCTTTTTCTGCGAGTGATAACTCGCACGTCTTCGGCGTTTTGAATTTGCAGAAGCGACGTTGCGTCCAACCAGGAGGGAAACACGGGAGACTCTAACAGCGAGAACTGCGCTTCCGGTCGACCTAGACGAAGAAGGGCGATGATAAATTTCAAAGAACCCAGTTTGCACAAGTGAGTGAAATTCTACGTGCCCTCTTGTTTGCACAGTTAATTGCGCGTTTCAACCGCTTAATGTTTGCGAAAAGACGATCGGAATCGATAAGCCGCGTATCTCGTGACTTCTCTCCGTAGCAGACATCGGATAAAATGTATTTGGCGAAACTTTCTTCTATTTTTAAATTATCTCTCCAACACGTGAATGCACTGGTAGTACACATTTAAACGTTACGTTTTCTCCCTTTCAGGAAATTGAGGCGGAATATTTAGGAAAACTTTATACGAAGTATAAACGACTCACGAAAAAAAAGTGAATATTTTTCATTTCTAATAACATTAGATACGATTTTCCTTTATATATATATATACTTTCATTAACACTAATACGAATGACTACGCAACCTGTACGGATTATTCGCATATAGTTGTAAGACGTTAAGATCAACAGTGTTTTTTATAATTAGTTGCTTTCGGTTGTATATTCGATTCAATTATCCTGATGGTTTTCTCTCAGGAAGGATATATCGAATGTTCCGCCGCCTTGATAGGCTACTTCCGTAGACAGATCATGTGTCATGACTGGCTTTCGTATCGCTAGCTTCCGGTCATCAATACATACTCGTACAAATCTTGGCCGGAAATATCTTCCTTCGACAGTATTGTTTGTATTATATCATTTTGTATTCCACCAGAACTATATATTTCAATAAACTTGGCTGGTGAACTTGTGGACGGAAATGTATTTTTTATTCTACATTTCAAATTCATTCTCAGCAATAATCGTGAGTGTAACATATTAAAATGTATAAAGAAATATTATGCATATGTTGCCGTATATTTTTTTTTAAGTATCAGTAATTTGTTCGATAGTATTTATTTCATAATTAGAAAAAGTAATGTAGGAACAGTGTTATATATTTTTCGAATATATTCTTTGTAAATATGGTAATTATATGTATACGCTCTTCGTAAACGACTGTCCATTTTTCAAGAGTACCTTCTAAGTAAATATTTATCTTGGATGGTGGAACAGTTGGTAACGTCAGCACTGTTTAATTATCCTCGGATCTCATCGACAATCGCGAAAATATGCCCGGAATCGGCGATTTTCAATAGTACCTTATCGACGAAAAATTGTCTTCTAAAGCGTCGTAGTGTGTATCTTTTAACTGTACATAGATATTTATTTTTATAAATCTGTAAAAGATATTAGATTCTGCATATGTCGAAAACCAACTCGGCTTGAATGTTATCTCTGAGTAATCTCGTTCCCTTTATCGTTATGCGATAATATGAATACTACTATATTATCGCGCGTAGATATGCCTTCTGCTTATAGTCGGCTACGCTAGATGACTTTGAGAATCGCTTCTGCTGCCTACGTCGCACGATCGCTTCGTCCCGGATGTTTTGCGATCTCTCTTTGCGATGTCCCTTGTCGATCTCGCATCGTTCGTCATTTTTATTTGACGAGCATTTATTTTCGTTTAAAACGACCGTAATTGCTCTTCTTCTCGGTAAAGTTTCGCGCGGGAAGGCGAAACGTCAAATGAATGTCTTTGTTGAACGTGCCGTCCGGAACATTCGTTTATTTTATGACATTGTAAAAGTAAAATGCAAAGATAAAAAGTGCCATTCGAGATACGGAGTGTTAACGCGAAGAACGTTCGGAGATTTCGCTACTTCCGTCATACTTTTTCGTCTCGGACTCTCGGATTAAGTTGATTATTCTCTCGGCGCTTCTCCTTCGGGGAACATGTTGCTGCGCTGTTTGGAAAAGCAACGGCGCACGGCGGCGCGTTATTACGAGGTGAAACTGTTCCACTCGGCTCGCGAAATGATTGATCGCCGTCGGAAACGGCGGCGGGCGGCTTTCGTGCGCAAATAAAAAGGCTTGGCCTCCAGTCGCGAGTAGAGTAGTAGTATTATGTGTGTAATGGATTTAACCTTCCGCGCGCTTCCACGCGAGCCAGCGCGGGCGCGAGGGCGGAAATTAATTATGTTTGTTTAATTTCAAGATGAAAAAAGTGCTGCTGGCACTGCCGCCTCGCCCATTGGCCGCGACGTCCGCGAACGATTTTCGTTCGACGATGAAAAAAAAAAAAGACGGAAGGAAAAGAGAGAGAGAGAGAGAGGGAGCCTTATCTGAGAAAACTCATCTCAGCTGTATTTTTCATACTGGTTGGGAAAAGATGAATCTTTTCAACCGAAGTTCAAAGATTGCCTGAATGCAAACATGTTTCCCGAACTAAATTTTATCTAATCGCTCGGTAACATTTTCCTGGCATTTCGTGAAAAATATTTTTCGGTTTCCAGAATGAAACAGGCTTCCTCAGGAATTCCCGAAGAATTTTATCCGACGACATGTGGACGCATTTTTAATATGATGTAATATTCAACTGCATCGGACGACGAATCGCGATCGAATCTCGGGGACGGGATATTTCGAATTGCCGGTGAAAATGTGAATCGCGTTAACGCGCGCATCGCTTTAATTACCGGAGGTATTTCGTTAAAAACGCAACGCGATATATCGTGGAAGGATATTCGCGACATGATCAATCGTTACGTCGTACCGGCGCAACGTAAACCGTAGATCGTTGCGCCTGCACTCACACCTGATACCGACACGGCGTGTGCATCGATCGTGTGTTGCAACACAGTGCTGGTTGCCGATTACCGGATATCAGCTTTTCATGTTTGAAGTTTCCCCACGTACGATAGGAAGTGAAACAGATCGAGGAGCGGGGGAACTTATAAATTACACCTGTGTATGCGAAATAATCCACGTAATAAATTGTTTCCTCGGAAAACTACCATGTATAGCGATCGAGTTATCCTTCTCGCATTGAGTATTTTAAGGTTCTTTGGGGTTCTTCACAGGACAAACAAGATATCTCCTTTCCGAGGCCGTTCGGGAAAGCAAACGTCCTCCTTTTTTCACGTATTTATCGATATTTTTTTCCTTATTTTTATGATCCCCTTAGAGAAACAAGTGATTCTTATTTAAACAGGTATATTCATACTTGGCATATAATTAAAATAAGATACGATGAAAAGCACGTCTTGCTAAAACCCCAGTTATTAACGCGTATTTCGTATCTAACATCTTTATCCACACGTAAAAACAGATTTCACTAACAATAAAATTATATCTCTAAAGGCAGCTATCTAATCTAAACAACTTTTTGATAATTCACATTTTCTCAATTACTTCGTTTTACCATTATCTGCAGGAGTATATTTAGAATTAAAAGAGTGGAGAAAGCGCTTTAAAAGTACCTTCGGTAAATGCGTCGATAAAAATTTTCATGGATAATAACTTATATATGTAATACTTGCAACAATATTTAACACCTCATTATTCGCGTACTTTAACAGACAGTATCGAAAAATGAAAAAGCAATTTATATCACGTCGGATTACGTAAGCTAGTTTAATATTAAATTATGCAAGTCACCTGTAATTGAAATAATTTCGTAATTGTTAACCGCGTCACAGAAGCATCACCGTGTACACGCGATCACGTTACATTACCAACAATAGAAAAAGACAATGAGATGCAAAGTGCGCAGAATTTACGTAAATTTTAATTAAGGTCGGCTCTAGGTTAAGGTATTTTAAGATACTTTATATGTAATTTTAATGTTGTCACTTTAAAATAAATCTGATGATAATGCGACGCACGAAAATAACACTTGTTTACTTATCTATCGGACGAGACAAACTTAATTTTATAACTGGAAACACGATGACAGGAGAGATTGTGCTAAAAGTACTTTAAAGAGATATTAAAAGGAAATGAAAAAGAAAATCAATAATAAAACCTGTAAAATCATAAATAGTAAATGACATATATACACAGCACGATTTCGATAATAAGCGCAAAATAACGTAATATCAATTTTTTTAAATAAATAGATCTAATAAATATAGGTGAAATCTGGAAAAAATAAAGTCGATACATATGTATAGCGTACACACATACATGCGCAAGCGGACACGCACATATCCAAACGTTCTTTCGCAACAGCAACGTGGCTTTCTTGGAAAAGGTTTGGGCGATAATAACCGTGCGAAATATCCAAGGATTTTCCTCGGGAAATCTAGCCGGGGGGCAATGAAATATAAAACCATCAGAAAACGCCTTCAGACGTCGAATGTTCGCGCTTTATGAAGTTTAATTGTTACGCTACTCGAGTTGCTCGTCGTGGAAGTGACGACGAAAATATTAATTATTGCTATAAATGATAAAATGGCAAATGAGAATATTGACGAAAATTTATGGACATAGAAAATTGGAAAAAAATACTAATACATGTGTAATATTCCATGTGTAGTTTCGCAAAATTTTCACAGACGCATTATCGCTTTTCCGAAGGCAGTCGTACAAAACCGACTTTTATATTTCTTAATACTTTAATAACACATCCGTGACAAATGAGAGTGGTCTATATTGTTGATCCATCTCGACGTATAAAACTCGCTCGCTCGATTGCATTAGTCGAGAATGATAATGACGAACGCTTCGATCGCCCGGGATGTCTGTTCAATGTTTCACAGACACAATTGCATAAGAGATGCGGACGGTCACTTACGGGCGTTATGCGGTGGATACGTGATAACGTGGAACGAGATTAGTACTTAGCGATACGCTTCTACGCGATTGCTATTGACATTAATGTAACGAGTGTCGTAATAAAATGTAGTCTTTCGTCCGAATTTATATCGGATTTACATTATATCGGAGGAGTACCGCGCAGATTCGAACGGAAAAGGTCATGATGCGATCAACTTTTAACGTCCAATTAGTGATACGCACAGCGACCAGCTGTAGATTCTTTGAAATTAAATAATACCGCAATATTATACGTCACACGCGTGTGTGTGTGTATGCGACTGCAGTCGATTACGCAGTCGATTAGTTACGTTAGCATTTTTTTCAGACACAAGAGTCGTCGAATTTTCTACGTCTTTAAAAAAAATGCGACTCTATAATTTCATGCATTTCGGACAGTTGTTCATTTACTTTGCAAATTCAACGAACATTGCACGCCTTCCTCGGGCATATCAGAGAGGCAATATCGCACAACATACTATGTTTCGTGTCTGTCACGTGAATTTATTTATTATCATCGCGAGCTCTTTGAGAGCTGTTCGACTTGGATCGTAAAATACGTGCAAACCCCTTTCGCCTATGCGAAGGCGCGTACGAAGAAGGGAGATGCCGATAGATCTGCGGCCGCGTTGAAGCGAGATAACGAACGTAAGACGTCGTTTCCACCGATTCCGAAACGAGTCTATCGACGAGCGTGAGGCGACACCAGTCCGTACCGGCGATCTCGTCGATATATCGTCAACAACGCAGGTTCCTCGAGGCCTCGATACTCCGCGTCCATCGGTGTTTATGACAGTTCTCGTCTCGGGACGATTCGCTCTCTCGGTGGAGTCGCACCTTAATCTTCGGTACCGGCGCGGACGTCCGGCGGTGCGCGTGCGCCAGCCATTTCCTAGTAGCGCGGATCGGCCGGCCAATGCCGAGCGTCGCGTCACGTCAACGGCGGCCAATCGCCGCGGCGGTGAATGACGACTCGGCTATTTTGGGCCGATGTGAGTCACGGGATATAAGGCAGTACGTTTAGTTGGATATTCACAAGTTGTCGAGACACCCAACCGTGCGGTCGAACGCTCGCTCACGCAACGTCGCGGTACTGTCCGCGTTCTCCGTGCACCGACAGAGAGAGAGAGAGAGAGACAGACGGCACACGCGCACACCACACCGCGGTCCGTCACGTCGTGAGTCATTGTTGTGTTGACAGTCGGAGCGGGCTGTGGTCCTCGCGCGACACACCGTGTGCGGTCGCTTTTTCGACGCGGAGAGCATCGGCGAGCGCCGACGTGTCTTCTGCGCCTCGGCCGATCGCGGTCAACGGCGGCTACTGTGCGCGTAAGCTACGAGTATTGTTCGCAGAGTGTCGTCGGCTGCTGTGGGTGCGCGGTACATCGGGTGCGTCGCGAACGACGTGTCAGTGAAGCCGAGATAGAGACAGACAGACAGAGAGAGAGAGAGAGAGACACGATAGAGGCGGCGTGTGTGAAAGAAGACAGTCATCGCGGCTGAATTTTTGCGTATAATCGCTCGCTCGCTCGCGCGCGCGCGCGCGCGGTTATGTAATCGCCGTCATAGCGCGAAGTGTTCGCACGACGTAGTAGACAGACAGAGAGAGAGAGAGGGAGGGAAGAGGGAAGAAGAAGGCAGGGAAGAAGAAAGAGGCCTACCAGCGTAGTCCACGACGTGCAGCGAGAGCGCGCGTGGTTGACGGGCGGAATCGAATATTTCGCGAGCGAATTTCCTCGACGGTTCGATCGGCCCGGTCGGAGCCTGTTCGCGCTCTTCCACGCGGAGCCGTGGATCTGCCGCTTGCAGGGAGAGAGAGAGAGAGATCCGGTTGCGCGCGTCGGCTCGCCGACGGCCAGCAGCAGCAGGAAAAGCTACCCGCGACTATTCCATCGACTGGCGGTTCGTCAGGCCGGCGGCATCGATGGTGCGCAGCCAGACGATGGAGCCGACGTTCTACGAGGACGGGAGCGCCTACGGGATGGTGAGTCGCGAGAACAACGTGGGCCAGCTGAAGCGTAATCTCACGCTCGACCTGAACGGCTGCCAGCGACAGGGTCCGCAGGCGAAGAGGCCACGACTGGTGGGTCCGTTGCCGTCGGCGCTCAACAACGTGACGCCGACGATCCTGGGCTCGCCGGACCTCAACATGCTGAAGCTCGGCTCGCCCGAGCTCGAGAAGCTGATAATGGCGCAGCAGGACGGGCTGGTCACCGGCCTGCCGACACCGACGACGCAGATCCTGTTCCCGAAGACGGTGACCGAGGCGCAGGAGCTGTACGCCCGCGGCTTCGTCGACGCGCTCAACGAGCTCCACCACTCGGACAGCTCGCAGGAGCCCGGCAGCACTCACGGCGCGACCTACACCACCCTGGAGCCGCCCGGCAGCGTGCAGAACAGCACCGACTCCTCGAGCACGATGAGTCAGGGTCTGGTGCAGGTGAAGGACGAGCCGCAGACGGTGCCGAGCGTGTCGAGCTCCCCGCCGATGTCGCCGATCGACATGGAGAACCAGGAGAAGATCAAGCTGGAGAGGAAGCGGCAGAGGAACCGCGTGGCCGCCTCCAAGTGCCGGCGGCGCAAGCTCGAGCGCATCTCCAGGCTCGAGGACAAGGTCAAGGTGCTGAAAGGCGAGAACAACGAGCTCACCGCGGTCGTGGTCAAGCTCAAGGAGCACGTGTGCCGGCTGAAGGAGCAGGTCATGGACCACGTGCACTCCGGCTGCGCGATCATGATCAACGATCATCAGAACAGCCAGCAGTTCTGAAGCTCTCTCCTGCTTACCCGGGCGCGACGACGCTGCGACGCACCGCCCTCGGTTGACCCCCCGTGTCCCTCGTCCCCTCGCCTCGTCGTGTACTTGAGGGCTGACGCGGAGGAGGGAACGTTGGACCACAGCCGGCGTTTTCGATTCCTCTCGGCGACCGGCGGATGAAGGAAACGCGCGAACACACGGACGGCTTGTTATTTCGCGCTCTCCTCGGGGGATGTTCTCTCTTTCCGGTGGCCCCGACGTGGTTCCTTCCCACTTGGGACTGGGAAGGCGGCAGCGGAGGAAGCTGTTCGTTTGTTGACGTCGTTGGACGGAGCGAAGACGAGCTCTTCGGGAAGAGCAACTCTCCGACGTCAGCCGTGCGTTCTAGCAGGAAACGCTAGTGGAAGCTTCGGCGGAGGAGAGAGAGGGGGGGGGGGGGAAAGAGGAAGGACACAAGGGGAATCGGCTGATCATCTACGTTCACGGGTTTCTCTGTAAGTTCTTTTGTGACGTGACCAGGAGGAGANGAGAGGGGGGGGGGGGGAGAAAGAGGAAGGACACAAGGGGAATCGGCTGATCATCTACGTTCACGGGTTTCTCTGTAAGTTCTTTTGTGACGTGACCAGGAGGAGACGAGACCGCTCGCGCGAACAGGCGGAGCAGGAGGTGGAGTACGACGACGAGGAGGAGGTGATGATGATGGTCGAGGTGGAGGAGGAGGAGGAAGGAGTGCCTTCGTGTAACGTGCTAAAGGATGCGTTGGGAGAGCGGCGGGCGTGCGCGCATGTGAGGAACTTTACACGCACGGGCGCGCGCTCGGCGATGGACGAATGCGTATGCATGAGTGAGAGAGAGAGGGAGAGACAGAATATGTATGCGAGCGTGCATGCGAGGGAGAGAAAGAGAGCGAGCGAGCGAGAGTGGGCGAGAGCGGTAGCGCACCGAGAGGGGAGAGCACCGCGGCGGCCATTTTGGAGAACGCGAGAGTGCCGGCGGGAGATTCGAATCTACCTCCCCGGAGGCTGGGACTCCGTCTCTCTATCTCGCTCTTCTTCCGATCGCCGCCGGGTGTCGACTCCCTACGTTTCGTTTCTTTTCTTCTTTCTTTCCCCGCGACTTCGTGCCCCGCGCACGACTGTCCGGTTTTTTTTGTACCTCGGATTTCCACTCGGATCGTCGTCCGATTCTTTTGTTAATTCCCGACGTCGGCCATTTGTAAGCTACATCGAACTTCTCTTTCTTGACGGAGAGACGTACCACCACGTGGTTTTTTTTATCGTCGAAGAGAGGCGCCGGTACGCGTATGACAGAATTTTTCTTCTTCTTTCCGCGAGCTCGCCGGCCGATTTTGCTGTACATCGAGTACGAGACGTTCACTTGTGCGTACGACCTAATTCGCAACTTCGGGAAATGCTTCGCTAACAGTTCGGCTAGCCGTATCTAACAGCCGTTTCTCGTTACGCGCGAGGTATTCTTCGGGACTTGGCGGCGGGTTTTCCGCGAGCTAAATCGCGAAAGAGTCGATGGAGAACAAACGGATCTCACAAATGCGAACGCTTTATTCCCGAGCGGTATTTCGAATAAGAAACAATCACGCGGAGAGACGGAGGAGTGGTTAAATTTACCGCGCGCAACTTGTCAAAGTGGGCATCCTGTGCAATCATCGCGATGTATTGCGCGAAAATAAGTCGATTCGAAGGGAAATCATTTAATCCTACGACTTTACGTACCCCGATATCAACTGTTGATCGCTATTCGGTGAGTAAACTCTCTGCGATCAGCTCTTCTACCGACGACGCAATCTTAGTGAAATAACAGTCGTTAAAGTATGTCACGACTTTTAACTTGATCTTCAAGCGGATTCTTATTCGCAGAACTCACAACCGCATCGGCATCAAAATTAGCTTATGCTTCCAGAGCTCTTTCTCTTCATTCTTTTTAATAGCAGACTACGATTGCAATTGACGCGGTGAAGATTGATCGCGTCTGTTATATCGTACTTCGATTTGAAAAATCCACGTCCATCGAAAGTCCACGCGACAGAAGGAGAGTCGTTTTCCCCCTTCAGATTGCACATTCGTCCCACTGTGCGCATCGTACACTTTTTTTTCACAACTTATCGACAACAGCGATCGCGTTTGCTATCGCTCCTCTTTCGAGATTAGCTCGGCTCGAACGANGGGGGGGGGAGGGGAGGGAAGGGGATACAACGTGTGTTTTATACGGAACAATCAAAAAAAGATTGGCGACAGGCGCGATTACGTCGAACTGAGAACTGCGCGCGGCGGATTACTTGTGATAAGCGCGATCAAAGCAGGAGATCACTTTTGCCTTGCGTCGAATGCATTTTTTCGCGAGCGTCCAGAGACTCGAGTTCATTCCGCTAGTTTGGTGCATACGAATCGACGAGTTCCGACACTAAGGGTATACGCGGTGCTGTATGCTGTAACTGCGAAGGGGGAGAAAAGAGAACACGCATCAGGGCGGTCCGCAGTAGTGACGCGCGGGGGGGTGTTCGCTTCGGAAACGATTTACCCAACCTGACGACAACGGCGCATGCTTTGCGAGAAAAGCAATCTCACACGGGGTTCCTTTCACGGAGCGTGTATTTTGAAAAGAAGCCGCCGACGAAGACGGGACTTACGACGAAGAGAAGTTTACTGTGATAAAAATCGTTTCGTCAAGAACGAAATGGACGTGAAACTGACGGGAGGGAGGGAGGGCGGATGACAGAGTGCATTAATATATTAAAATATTCAATTATTATATATTGTATAAAATAAATATATTAAATATATTCAAAGCAACCGTTGAGATTAGAAGAAAGAAAATTGCACGATCGATGGTGTACGTCGACAAGACGCGGACAATATCTCGCGCCGGCTGTACAATCCGCGTCACCCCACGCTGTACCATTCATTCCCTTTGCGAAAAATCGCACGATTCTCAGCCTCGCGTGTAACCCGTAAAAATTGAAAATCGCACGAGTAACTCCAATTATAAAGTTGTAACGCGACCAATAGAGTGATCATCAAATTATAATCTGACTGATGAAGTTATTATTCGGGTTAGATAATTACAGCTTTTTTTTTTTTTTTTTTTACTGTTGTCTCACTTCTGTATTTCTATTTATGATACTTAATATTATCGTTCTTTTCTTTTTGCTTATATAGCAACCGATAAAATTACTATTATTATTACCAATTATAACGGCTCTCACCTTATATAAGTATGCGTGAGGCTGGGAATCGAGTAATTTGTAATCTAGGGAATAGTATGACGTGTACGTGACGTGACGAAAAAGTCGTTCCTGCGTCCTCCAATCGCGTCGTCCTCTTGAGCGAACGAACCGATTGGTCGACCGACCGGACTACCGCGGAGAAGGAGAGAAAGACGGAAGTTTCGGATACATTTCGGAAGATACAAAGCGGAAGACGCGGTCCGCTTGTACGTCTCGGCAGTCGCCCGTTTTTCCTCGATATTTCTCCGACCGACGTGCCTCTTCGCCGTTCCGCCGACGACCCGTCGAACGAACGTATCGAAGTGACGGCCTCGTTTGAAAGCCCGCTTTTTAAATAAAAGAGCTGAACGTTACTAAAGCTGTACAAATAGAGAGCCGGTCGCTCGCTTGAACTTGTCATTGAAGAATCGTCGCCGTCGACCGGTACGAGACGGTACTCGATAAAGAAGCCAGCTCTCCGATTAGCTATCAGGCGCGTGTCGATTGATCGGCACGATTGCACGTGATGATCGGCACGATTACACGTGATGCCCGGCGATAACGTTACGGTTCCAGGATAATGGCGCATAATTGCACGATCAATCGCGGCTGTCACCGTGCGCGGCAGAATTCCCGAACGGCAGATCTCGCAATTATCTCGCCCCGGTAATAATGATCGGTGGTCCGATCGATCGATCGATCGGTCGACCGACCGACCGATCGACTGTGCTCGGTGCCTCGAAGGTGTATCCGCGATACCACGGCAATTCCGCGGTTGCCGCGATCCGCAGAGAGGCGACGAACCGCAAAGTGTGTCGCGATAATTTCAACAAGCGGCGGCGCAAAGGTCCCTCGTCGGCTTCTTATCCGTGTAGCGAGAAAAAGTTGAAAAAAAAACTTGGCCGTTCGCGCCGTGTCGTCGCGATTAGTATACCGCACGATCCTCCGGGTAGCCCCCCCCCCCTCCTGAAGAAGCTTTTTCCCTTTAGCTCGTAAGCCGAGGACGATCGCCGCTGTCAGTCACATTCTCCTTGTTTGTTGGTCCTTCTGAGCTGCGGAAACTCCATTTCGTCATATGTGCATCTAGTCTTGTCCAGTATGCCGTTGCGACTCGGGCGCACTGTGTACGCACACCACGTACACACATGCATACATACACACGCACACATGTACACAGGCGACACATGAACACGTACGTATGTAAACGCCTCTCTTTCGAAAACGGCATGTTTTCCTTATCTAAATCAAACAAGAGTGTCTCTCCTTACAAGGGGATCTCGCAAAGCCGAAAATTCAGATTCTAATGAAGCCCGGCGTGAAAACGCAGGCCTGATAAATAGAATTTAGAATTCTTCACACACCGACACACTGCGTTGTTTTAATATACACAGTAAGAAATGTCGCGTTACTTTAACACAATGTGCTTGAAAGTACACACTTCCCGGGGTTGAACACCGAATTTCGTTATTAACGGAAAACTTTTCGCCGCGTAGTGTCGGTGTGGACATTTCTAAATTCGTCTATTCGCCCAACCTAGATTTTTACGTCGAGCTTCTTTGTCAGGGGGAATTTTGAGAAATCGGAGAAAGTGTTTCAAGATTTGAGGAACCTACTTATTTTATTAGGATTTGGGATTTGGAAAGTTTTTCGGGGCGGTTTCAGGCCCCTTGTTCTCCGACCGAACTCGCGGAGTTATTTCCGTCTGGTCTGCTACAAATTTCTGAGAGATTGTCTCTTTTTCTCCTTCGGGACGAACACATTCGCGACACACGAAGCGGCCTTTCCCGCTTCCGCGCGAAACCCGGCCCCGATTGTCGATTAGCTTTGTACTTGACATGTTTGTAAGATACACAGGGACCGCATATGATATATTTTAATACGAATAACACGCTCTTAGGCTTTTTAGAATCCGAGGAGTCTCACTTGCACTTGCGCAAGTTGACGAACGTTATCGCTTCGATATCGGCAATAAATTCATTCGCCGCGCCTTTTTGCGACACGTACACCAGATAATTCGGCTCGATCTTACCGTTCGATTCTCCGCAATGTCACTCGAATGTTACATGTCGCCGAGCGAAAATTCAGAGGAAAATTTCATCGGTGGGCGAAATCTCCCCGTCGATGATACACGATTCCTTCGTGATACGCGTTCTCTCTTCCGCGTAAATGCATCTCTCGAGACTCGAAAGACTCGTTTCGGGTTACAAATAAAAGATCGATGGGAAGTCGAGCGGGAAGATTAAAGCGGGGCAAAATTCGCAAACGGGAGGCGAGCATGCAATAACAACGAACATAA